AAGAAACTTTTATGCGAAGCGATGATAAAAATGTAGTGAGATCGTAATAGTGTGTGACTAAACTATCTACCATCAGCCTAACAAATCAACCATCTTCATCTATTTTTTTGGTAGTACTTGAATTCCCGAGTCAAGTTTCGACCAGTAATCAGTCACATCGCGCGCCGAAGATAACGACCTCAAATGCAAAACTCAAAACTATAAATTTGTAGATCTCATTTAGGGCTATAACTTTTATATAGAAAGTATCTCAATTTAACGCCATCTAAGAAAGATATGATTTTTCCAAGACGACAAGCGTTTGTACGCGATTAATACGATGTTGAAACTTTATATTATTATTTTTTAAGCATCTTAATGATCTCAAATGCAAAAATCCAAAACTATAAATTTGTAGATCCCACCAAGAGTTATAACTTTCATATAGAAAATATCTCTATTTGACACCATATAAGAAATATATGATTTTTTCAAGACGACAAGTGCATGTACGTGATTAATATGATGTTGAAACTTTATATTATTTTTCTTGAGTATCTTAATGATCTTAAATGCAAAAACTCAAAACTATAAATTTGTAGATCTCATCTAGGGCTACAACTTTCATATAGAAAGTATCTCCATCTGACACCGTGTAAGAACGATATGATTTTTCCAAGATGACAAGCGCTCGTAAGCGATTAATATACTGCTGAAATTTGTTTAATTTTTAAGCATTTAACGACCTCAAATGAAAAACTCAAAACTAGAAAGCTGTAGATCTCGTCGAGAGCTATAATTTTTATATAAAGATCATCTTCATCTAAGATCGTATTAAAAAAATACAATTTTTCTATAGTTGTGCCATGCCGCGCCAGTCTAGATGGCGCGGCGCTACAGTGCGTGGCAAGGATTTCGACGTCGAAATCGCTGTCCGACGTGGCAGATCATGCCTCGCCGATGCATGTGGCGCGACAGCGTGTTTTGGTCGCGCTACGGTTTTTGACGCGGCCAAAAATGTTAGATTGGTAAATAAAAAACTAAGGTGTTAGATTTTGAATTTGTTTTAGAAAAAAGGTTAAAAATAAAAAAAGATCGCGATGGCGACCTGTCACTACCCAACGGATACCCGCACGTACCCGACCCGTTCGATCGGTCCATGCAGGCCAGGCTGGATGGAGTGGAGCGAGGCTGGTGCTGGTCGGGTTGCACTGGAGACTGGACGGACCGGGCGGGGCCTCCCGGGCTAACGCCGTCAGCCTGAAACGTTCGCTCCCTGCTACTGCTAGTCTGCTAGTGCTCTCGCTGGACGGACACGGACGGATCGCCCCGTGCAGCTGTGCCTAGCCTGTGCAGCCAAGCACCCCCATGCCCGTTCTGATTAATAATAAATATAAACGACACGGGGCCCACCGTTCCAGCCTGCTGTGTGATTTGGTCAACCTGTTTGAGCTTGATGATGGGATGGGACGACGAAAATGATACGAGCCTGTCGCGTTTATACTCTACAGAGTACAGTAGCTGCAATCAAGCTCGTGAGGCCTGCTGGGTGCTGGGCACGTTGACGCCGTGGAGTGGAGAGGTACCGGTACCGGTGGATGACAGGGAGAATGAACGAGGACGAAAGAAAGGCCGGGAGGGGACAGTGGCCGCGCCGGTCCTTGTCCACGTACACTGCATTGGCCATTTCTAGCTCGAGCCCTTTGTTCTCTTCTCCCTTGCGCACGCTTTGCTGTACCCAGCCAGACCAAACATGAGGGTGACCTTAGTCTTGGTGGCTGTGTGCCCGGGCCTAGCATAGCTTAGCTAGACTGGATGCCCATGCCATGCATGATGCATCATCTGAGTAGTATAAAAAAAGATGAATATCATCCTCTTTCTAAGGATTTCTTTCTCGTACTCATACAATAATTTTCTACACATTTGGAGACCGGTGTCTTAAAGTGTCATATCCGTCATGCTAACATCCCTATAGTTCAGAACGCCCCTGAAAGGTACGTTCATCGACCTTAGTTGCTCAAGCTCAGTCGTTGTGTAAGGTGGTGGTGGAACATACTGCTGCGCTTCGCTAATTCTGCCCCATGAATCATAGGGGGTATCATCTGCTGGCAAATCTGTGACTAGTCTACCCTGAGCCTGGATAGCATGTAAAACCTCAGTTAGTACTGGTAATGACATACCATGAAAATGTACTGGCATGACATCAACCGGTGTGAGCATAGCATGTCTATCTCCTTAGTCACCATCTGAATCGTCCGAATCACTGCTAACTACATCACCGATCATGTCCTCCTCCTCCTGCTCCTCCTCTTCTAGTTCGAACTCGTTCACATCAAAATCATTGCTTATACAACCTACTTGACTTGAATGAAATTGCTCCTGCGTCAACTGACCGTCCAAATCCATGTTACCCTGAGCTGCTTCCTCTTCGACCCCCAATTCTTGCTCATTGCCTCCAACACCGTCAATGGACGGCCCGTCCAGGACACCTTGCATCCTGACCCATTCTCCACCACCACCTCAGCCATTGGGCACATTAGAACCTTGGAGCACCCTAGTGTAGCGGGACCAGTGAGCAGGGACGCGTAAGGGCATAAGAACATAGTGTGCCCTAGTCTTCCCAGTATCAAACCTCCCCTTCAGTGTTAAATCATCGCCAAACTTTGCATTCAAACGGACACAAAGGTCGTTGAAGCTAGGAGGTTCATCAAGCCATTCCAATTCTTCTTCCATATCCTCAAACATACCATCTTCTCTCATAACACTTCCTCCGTAAAAAAACTCTAACACAACAATCCATCTACAAAAACAATTCAAGAAACTTCATCAAGTCATCGAAATCGTCGTACGTAATCTCCATAGTAATATTAATACATATTCTAACTATAACTATACTAACTAATCTAATATTAACATTTATACAAGGCTAACTACAACAACTAATTATACTAAATACAATGTATAACTAAACTCACTAACTGTACTAACTAAATTAACTAACTTTACTATATATACTAACTTACTATATTGCCTATACTAACTAAGCTAACTAACTTTACTAATTATACTAACTATACTTTACTAATTATACTAACTTTATTTATTTTACTAACTTACTATATTAACAATGTCGATTCAATCAACAAATACAATAGGGGAGTACCTCATGGCATGGCGCAAGGCCAGACCGGCCGGAGACGCAGGCAAGTGATGAGGCGGGGGTGGGGTACAAGGGCATCCGTGGTGGGCTGGTTTGAGGCACGGCGGCGCCCGAGGGGGGTGGTGCGCCATGGTAGTGGGCGGGAGGAGTGGCTTGGCCGCAAGATGCGTGGCGTAGGCGGGCCGTGGGCAGGCGCGCGAAGCCGGCAGGGCAAAGGGCGCGGCGTTATTTACCTGGCTCTGCCGCGCCACCGATCAGGCGCGGCAGAGCCGCGCCAAGGTCGGTGGCGCGGCAGACCCTGCCACGTCACCGGTCAGCGCCCCGGTCGTCGCCACGTCAACTCTCTCGCCGCGCCACCATACATGGCGCGGCACAGGCGTTTCGCCGTGCCAGGGAAATAGACGCGGCCAAAAGTATTAGTTATGAAAAAAATTAAACAGTGTTAGATTTAAAATTAATTTACAAAAAGTGTTAAATATAAAAAAAATTCGCAGGGGGCAAAGCAAGCAACCCCATGCCCGTTCTGATTAATAATAAATATAAACGACACGGGGCCCACCGTTCAGTGGCACCAGCCTACTGTGTGATTTGGTCAACCTGTTTGAGCTCGATGATGGGACGACGAAAATGATACGAGCCTGTCGCGTTTATGCTCTACAGTGTACAGTAGCTGCAATCAAGCTCGTGTATTCTTGTACAAGGCCTGCTGGGTGCTGGGCACGTTGACGCCGTGGAGTGGAGAGGTACCGGTACCGGTGGATGACAGGGAGAATGAACGAGGACCAAGGAAAGGCCGGGAGGGGACAGTGGCCGCGCCGGTACGGTCCTTGTCCACGTACACTGCATTGCCCATTTCTAGCTCTATCCCTTTGTTCTCTTCTCCCTTGCGCACGCTTTGCTGTACCCAGCCAGACCAAACATGAGGGTGACCTTAGTCTTGGTGGCTGTCTGCCCGGGCCTAGCATAGCTTAGCTAGATTGGATGCCCATGCCATGCATGATGCATCATTCGAGTAGTTCTTTTTCAGAACGGGCGAAGCACGATGACATCTTAAATCAGACGTACTGACTGCATAGACTATGACATAACGGGCGCGTTTGCGACCCTGTACCTGGCCGGCCTGGCCTACCCAACTGGCCCAGGTCTGGGCAGACCTACCCCAAGTAGTGTAACAGCTCTTGTTTGCGCCTGTGTACCCAGTGAGCCCGGCTCAGGCGATGTTGTGTTTGTCATCGAAGATGTAGCTTGGCTGAGAGGTTAACCACCACCAACTGCCACACCGAGATAGTATTTGTCATTTGGCTGTGGTCGGCCAGGCCCATAACAACAAACAGAAATGGACATGAATGAAAGAAGAATGAGGTTGCTATTCCATAACCGTTACAACAACAGATCAAAGTTTCAGCATGCAATAGTTGGCCTCAGACATGCTAGTTTAACAATTCATGGCATTATTGGCTACATGGGATAATCAAAGTCAGTAAAGAAGAACAGCAACATCTGCTAGTCAAGTTTTGAAGCCAACAAATGAAGTTCACAGGAACAGATAAGAGGTAGCAAAATGATATGTAGCCAGCTAATGCATCGATCCATTATGTCATCATTGGCTAAAATACAACATTTAACAGTTCTTGCACATGGACAGCCTGCACCAAATTGCTGCCTATTGTCAGCCACCCTCCCAGGCATACATCTACTGAAGGTTATGTGTCAAAAGATCAACCTACACTGCATAAAAGCTCTACAGCAAACAAAATCCCAGCTGTAGTCAAAAGAAGAGAGAGTGGGTGAGGGGGGTGGAGGAACTATACATGTCAACAGTCAACCCCCTCCTGTCCATGCAGACCATCATGTAGTGCAGCTACATGAAGTAGTTTTTGGCTAAGAAGGTCTGCAGCCAAATGGTCCTATGGGCATCAGTCATGTTCACAAAGTCCCTGCCTTGGGTCTTGTTGTCTAGGAGAAAGGTGTAGGCAACAATAAGGGCCTCCTCAGAGAAGCCAGGCATCTCCATCACAGCAAGGTACAGATTGGCATCAACATGGGCAGGTCCAGTCTCCCTAAGAGCATTAGCCACATTGTTGACAGCATCAGACATGTTGGTCAACATGAGTATCTCCTCCTCAGAGAAATTTCCTCTCTCCCTCTTCCCACCAACACCTGAGCAGGGCACTTCTGTGGCCTTGCTACCCTCTGCAGGTGCAGTGGGAGCTTTATCACCAGTGAGTGGGGTCAATGGAGGACCATCAACCTTGGCAGCAGCACTGTCAGCCTGGTTCTGCCCTAAGGCTTTCCCAGACCCAAGTGCAAACCTACCAGTGGCTAAAGCATTGTCAAATATGGCCTCCATCTCAGTGTAGAACCTAATAGGGGTGTTTAGGTACTCAGCATCTTTAAGATGGTCCTGCAGTTTGGTGCACATGGAGGTTTAGACTTGTAATTGTACAAATACAAGGTATGTAGGACAATGAAATAGAACCAAATTGCTACCTTGGTGTGGCCAAGGTAGTGCTCATGGTCAAGCATGATAGCATGGGTGATGTCATCCCGTAGAGCACCACTAAGGTCCTTGAGTTTGGACACCTTAGCCCATTTCTGCCTCCATTTTCTCAAGTGATTGTACACTTGAGTAGGGCTGACAACCTCCCCACACCAATCCTTAAGGGCCTTGGCTACATGATTCACATCCTTATCCTTGAAGACCTTGTCAGGCCTGCTGCCATCAGTGACCAGAGCAGCCATTCTCCTAAGAACAAAACCAGAGGTGTTGTTGGACCACCTCATAGCCCTAACACCACCACCACCAGCAGGATCAACTGCTACTGGAGTAGCACCAGCACCAATACCAGCTGCCACAGGAGCAGCAGCACTAGCACTAGCACCAGCTACAACAGGAGCAGCAGTCCCACCACTTATGAGCTCCTCAAGGACATCGGAAGCTGCCACAAACCCTCCCTGACCAGCACCTAGGACTGAAGCCATTCTAGTACTGGTGTGCATGAATAAGAATAGATAACAGCATGACACAGTTAGATAAACATAATGCAACAATCACAGAAAGAACAGAATGAAACAAGAAACCAAATACTGAATCAATAAACCACAGAATTAAGTGATAAATCAGTGGTCTCAGCCTTGTCCATCTAATTATTACATCATCATCACACAAACATGAGTTCCATAGCAGGGTACACAAACTGAATTCAAGAACAAATTACATGGCACATTAAATCCTATTATTTTCCCTTCCAACCCACATAGCATCACAGATGGCATCCCTCATTGCAGCCATGTCAATGGAGTCTTGGTCCAGATGTCCAGGAGGCAAGTCAAGTGGTTCAGGTGGGGAGCCAGTAAAACCATCCTCATGAGGCACTACTTCATCAATGCCAAAGCCTAGGATCCAGTTGTGTAAATTGGCACAGGCAACTACAAGCTTGACTTGTGTCATGTACTTGTGGAAGGGCTTGTTGTCCAAGATCCTAAACCTGAGCTTCAGTGCACCTATAGCCCTCTCAATAGTCACTCTTAGTGATGAGTGCCTTAGGTTGAAGAGCTCCCTGGCATTGGTGGGTCTGTTCCTGCTCCCATACTCAGACAAATGGTACCTGACTCCCCTGTAAGGTGGTAGGAAGCCAGGCTTGCATGCATACCCAACATCTACCAAGTAGAATTTACCTACAATTGGACATCTACTGTGAGAGTGTGTGGCATTGGTTAGGCAATGGAATTTTCATTGTGTTTTGTGCAATTACCTTCTGGCACAGTGAACCCATCTTCCCTAGTAATGGCATCTGCCAAGACAGTTGCATCATGGGCAGAACCCTCCCATCCAACAAGGACATAAGTGAATAGAAGATCATAATTCACAGCTACTATGACATTTTGAGTGGGGTCCTTTTTCCTACCCCTGAAAACTTGTTGGATGCGCCTTGGCACCCTAGCCAGGAAGTGTGTGCCATCTATGAAGCCAATGCAGTCCTAAAATGTATGTGTAAGTTATTGGACCATGTGCTATTCAATTTATGAATCGAAGGTAAACATTTACCTTGAAATATGGATTCCATCTGTGGCTTCCAAGGATCTTTGGGTGAGTGGAAGTGCTAGGTGCCTTGATCATTTCATTCCTAAGCTCACAAACAGCATACAAAACCTGGTGGAAGTGTTTGTGCACTGTTTGAATGGACTCCTAAAGGAATGGTGGACAACTCTGAACCTTTGGTTGTGCCCTACAACATGCAAGAACATGGCTACCTGCTCCTCTACTGAGACCCCATCCCTATCAGTGACCAAGCTTCTCTCTCTAAACGTTTTGACTAACTCAAAAAAAGGAGCTCTCTTCATCCTAATCATGGATATACACTCTGTATCAGTGGAGTGGTAAATCATGTGCATTGTCCTCAGTCTGTGCTGCTCATTTACATCCCTAATAAGTGCAAGTGCTGTAGGGTCAGGCTGGGGTGTATCAGGTTCAAGGTTTTTTCTTTTTAGCCTAGTGGATACAAAGGAAACCATAACAACAGTCAAAGCAGCAGCCTACCTACACAACATCTCACGGCTCAACGAGGGATCCATCTACAACCATGTAAAATTGAAACAGAAATACAGATCATCAGACCCTGCTAGGCATCAACATGCTCATGAAATGAATGAATAAGGAAATAGCACGGCTGCATCATGTATTGATGTCTCCCAGTGCACAAAAAGGACCACATCATCGACCACATCTCATAAAATAGTAACAAACCGTAGCTTATCAGGTACCAAACCATAACAGAACCAAAGCAGCAGCATCAGGTACCACAAAATAAAAAACATCATCAGCTACCAAACCCTAATACATGTCGCATCCAGGGAAAACACAAGATGGAGGGGGGGAGAGGGGTGGTCCATTTCACCTTGGGCTCGGGGTCGTAGAACCGGAGAGGAGGCATATCTGGAAGTAGAGGAAGCAGATCGATCTAAAGTCGAAGCAGACGGGGACGGAGAAGAGGAGGAACACCAACACACCACCGAGTACCAGCAGCAGCCGGAGCAGGAACGCGGCGAAGAACCCCCAAGGCGCGGAACGGAGGCAAAGTACGCCGGAGGTCGCCGCTGCCACCACGCACACGAGCTCACCGTCGGTCTCTCAGGAGGGAGGTGGAAGGTGACCAGAGCGAGGAGAGGAAGAAGGAGAGGCAGGGGGAGCGGCCGCACTTATAGGCGCATGGATTGGCGGGCGGATTTGCCTTCCCGCGCGGCGGCAAGCGCACGCGGAAGTTTCACCTTCCCGCACGAGCCCGTGCGAGCCACCCCGCCGCCGCCCGAAATCGCCCGCGAGCGCCGCGCGCAGCCGAGCTCGCCAGAAACGAACCCTAGCGGCGTTTCTCCAGGGCCAGGCGTCGGCGTCGTATTTGACTCCTGGGAGCCGGGCTCGCTCGCGGGCCAAGGCCGCAAACACGGGAGCCTGTAGCCCCCAAGCGCAAGGCTGGCCCGGGCCACCCTCGCAAACGCAACATGTCTCAAGAATGGCTAGTATTATTATCATACATAGGGTCACCTTTTTTTTATCTTGACGAGTGGGAGATCATAGGTTACCTTTCATCATGTGGCGGGTGGGGAGGTAGAATGAGGAACAACCGTTCCACACGCCATCGGGCGTGTACAATTCAGCCACACGCCGCCGACGTATACATCACAAAAAAAAACAAAGGAAAAAGAAAAGGACAGATAGTGAAACATTCGCTGGATGGAGGACACATGTTCGAGTGTAGTGGCTGAAGAAAGAGATACCCAATGGCATTATTACCTTATTTGACTTGGCCTAGGTTTACTGGGCAAGTAGCCATCCCAAAGTCCACACCAAGGAACGAACACGATGCGCACCACTCGCACGCTCTTACAACGACCTACGAAGACCCCCTAGCTAGCAACTGGCTCATGGTCATGGCTGGCCTCCCAGCGTAGTTAACCCATGGAGACCGCTCACGCTTGTGTGTGCGTTCCACGGGGTGCGGAGAGCAGCGGCGTTTAATTAATCAAACCGACGTGTTTAGCGGCCGCTAAGGATGGGAGAAAGAAAGATATTCCTCGTTCGTCATCGGAGAAAAAAGAAAGAATAGGGGGACGGGCGAGAGAGAAAGACAAACAACGGTTGTGATTAGCTGCGGTAGTCAGATGTCAAGTTTGGGGGAAAAAAAGGTTGGGTTTTTCGTAATAAAAAAATAAAACAAAGAAAAGCTGGATGTGGCCTGTGGGGGACAAGGACATGCGTGCTGCGTGTGGTGTGAGCAGCCTGCCAGTGCACAGCAGCACCGCAGCGGAATTAAATTAGTTTAAGCAAAGTGTGGGATTAGATTAGTTTAAGCAAATGTGGATTAGGATACTCCATTCCATTGTTGGTACTTGGTAGCTCTTGGTGGATGGTGGGGAGCGGAGGAGCAGGGCCTATGAAAGGGGGACAGAAATTCCACCAACTAACCACACCTCGTGGCCGTGCTTGTGTTTGCTGTGAGGAATCTCTTCTCTGCAGCCCCCACCTCCAGATCTTTTTTAATGTGCGAAATTTAGATGATTTTTTGTTAAATACGTACGGCTCTTTTTTTATACTAAATACTATTTCTTTACTCTGATGTATGTGCTCTATACTATACGTAGTTTTAAACCACGCCATACATTAGGCCAGCATACATATGGCGATGCACAGTTGACAGGGAGTAGTGAGATTTTCAGAGACAGCGATGGCGATCTACTCCTACTTTACTGTGTTTGTTTCCCTCGGTAAAAGTTTAGTGGACACCTGCATAGAGTATTAAATATCGACTAATTACGAAACTAAATGCATAGATTGAGACTAATTCGCGAGACGAATTTTTTAAGCCTAATTAGCTCATGATTTGACAATGTGGTGCTACAGTAAACATATGCTAATGATATATTAATTAGACTTAATAAATTTATCTAGTAGATTACTCATTACTTGTGTAATTTGTTTTATTATCACTGTTCCAATACCAGATTCGATGTGACGCCCGTGTGACACCCCGGCGGCGCTCCGTGCCCCTGTCCCGCTGGTGTACTGTTGGACGGTCAAAAGTGCAAGGCCCGTCGCATTGAGCGTTAGACCGTCTCCCATAAGAAATTGATAAGTACTTAATGAATTGTAAGAGGTCTAAAATTAATCTTGATAGAGTATTTATTCGGAAGACGAATAGTGTGCGTGACGCACAGGACACAGGATGCCCTGGAGCACTGGCGGCCCCACGCGTGGGTGACGAGATTCGCTGCACGGGTGGTCGCCAGCCGAGGCACGTGGGCTGCTCCGCGTCGCCATCCATCCATCTGACGTGCCAGTTGCCACGCAGCCTACGTGCCGAGTACACCGTTTATTAATGTAGTATAAAGAAAAGAAAATTCAAATTTAAGTGACTTGCCAGGTCTTAAGCTTAGTTACGTGCAAGTGCAAGCATAGATATATAGATAGATGGATGGACTACACATGCGTAGTATATTTTTAGGGAGAGAAATACAGATAGCAGTGGTTGCTTGTACTTTGCTGAACCGCACAGCACATTACAATTATCTTTCTGTCTAGTCCATTGTTTATTTTCATCGACCCCGTCTTCTCTGTCGAGCATGCTCCCTCCGTAATAATTAGCTAAATCACAGATGACGGAGAGATATATGACATCTCTAGGAGATGCACTAATAGGAAAGAACCAATTCTTAACTTGAAGTTAAATTATCTAAGTTTATCCGAGTTTATTTATATGACAAGAGTAGTAGCACCATTTGTTATGGCACTAAATGATAAAAAATGTAAATGTATTTTACAATGAATGTAACGATACTTATTTGATATTATAAATAATAATTTATATATATAGATTTGGTTCATTTCAAGATGAGATAAAAATTGTATTGTTTCTAGGATAGAACAGAAAGAGTATCTTACTTTGCAAGTTGCAAGTGCTGATGAAAGTGACGCTAATCCTCGGAAC